ATCTTGGTTTTTGTTTAATATGGTAAAAATTAACGAATTAAATTTCGAGCAAAAAACAAATGTCTTTTAAGTATAAACAATTTAGTATTTAATTAAAAATCTTGATATTGTTTAATGAAAATTAACATATTCAATTTCGAGCAAAAGATAATTCAAATCTTCGTTTTACATTTTAGAAAAATATCAAAATAAGCAAATACTTTTAATTTGACATAATTCTAGCTAATTTTAAATATTTACTTATTAAATTTCCATTTGTATTATCTATTTTATAGAAAAATATTAAAAAAGATAATAACACAACAAAAAGAATTTCACATAAATTCAAAATCATTAAAAACTTGTAAGAAAAATCAACAAACTTGTGTTGCAGATTTTTTTGTTTTCTTTTTTTACATTTTTTTTTTGGGAGGGAGGAGAATGGGGGTGTTTGGGTGGATTCCAGAATAGGTGGATGGATTTTTAGGATTGCTGTTTCTAGTGCTGCTGCTTCTGCTGTTGCTATTGCGATGATATTTGTCTTGTTTACGAGAAGACTTATGCGCGTGTGCGGACCACCGAAGTTCGCTGCTCGATCAATAGGCCTCTACTCTGAAATCACACATAAACGCACTCACTCCCACGCACCAATACGACCATACATTTTTTTTTTTGCTTTTCTATCCAATAGAAACACACACACACACACACACACACGTACGCAAGCACATACATTACATACATACATACATATATACATAGATTTATTTTAACGGGCGCGATCTTCTTCTCCTCAATTTCGACTTTTCTTAGGGACCACCTTCGAAAAAAATGTGATTTTTTTTTCCTTTCCTATTTATTTGGTTCTATTTTTTCATTTTTTTTTTTTTTCAGTAAATTACTTTAGGAGTAAGAATATTTTATTGACCTAAAGTTTGTCGAATTTTTTCTTTTTTTTTTTGAAACATAAAAATTAATCCTGTGACAAATAAATAAAAAAATAAAATAAAATAAAGAAATAACACGACGTGTTAGAAAGAAAAAAACCTTCGGAAAAATTGTATAATTAAATAAATACATATAAAAAAAAAAAAATCTTACGTATAATACAAAAATATACAAAAATATAATAATAATAAAAAAATACAAAATTTATATGAATCATGATACAATATATAATAATTCATAATCGTGAGAAAGACAAGGTCTGTCTAAATCATACTAATACAACGGAATAGTTATGATTATTTAGTTTCGATCGTCACATTTAGTTGCACACACCATACACACACACACACATAGACACACATGCATGCATGCATTAGAGGACAAAGTTAGTAAGTGCGGAACAGCTGTGAAAATAATTTCACACACAAACACACACACGCGCATAACATTTTTTTATTCGAAACATTAAACATGATATATCAGAAATTATTAGAAATCAAACGATAGGGTAAATATTTTATATAATTTTTAATATTATATATATATATATATATATATTAATTATTATATTAATTAAATTTATTATTATATATTTTTATAATATTTATTATATTATAATATTTTTAAAATATTTAAATTTTATTTAATATATAATTAAAATTTAAATTATAAATTTTGATAATAATTATTATATTATAATATTTTTATAATATTTATTATATTATTATAAATTATTATAATAATTAAATATTAAATATTAATTTATATATATAATATATATTATTTTATAATATTATATATATTATATATTAAATATTATTATATAATATTTTATAATATAATAAAATATTATATAATATATTATTATTATAAAATATTATATATTAAATACATATTATATTTATATATGTTTATTATATAATTTATTAAATATTATATAATTAATAATAAAATATTATTCATATATTTATTATATATTATAATGTATTAAATATATTATATATTAATAGTAATAATAATAATAATAATATATTAAATATATAATATTAAAATAAAAATGATAAAAAAACACTTGCAAAAATTAATTAAAAATTTAAATTGATTACAATTATAAATATAACATTGAAATAAAAATGATAAAAAAACACTTGCAAAAATTAATTAAAAATTTAAATTGATTACAATTAAATATATAATATTTAAATAAAAATGATTATACAAAAATTTGCAAAAAATTAATGATAAATTAAACAGTTTGATTTGTACGTAATTGTGCATGATTGACAATTAGTTTAAAATCGATGGAACAATTACAAAATAAATTGTTTACAAGAGTTACATTTATTTTTTTGTATTTTTCCGTAGAAAAATACTGTGTCATAAAACTTCGATCTCATTGCCCATTTCTCTCTCTCTCTCTCTATTTCTCTCTCTCTCTCTCTCTTTCTCTCTCTCTCTCTTACTTTATTTTTCTTTTTCTTTCTCTTTCTATCATATAACATGTTTTTCTCGACACCCTTTCGAAAGGACAACGCAGAACCCTTAGATTTCTCCCCATTTTTCCTATCATTCATCCAATTCCAACTATGTACCAACGTTCTACGTTTTCATAATACATGTATATAGATATACGTGTTTTTCTTATATGTATGTGTGTATATATGTGTGAGAAGATATATATATATATGTGATGAGAAGAGTGAACGCGAACATACGGGCGTATTTATACGTATTTTTGGAAAATCTGTCAAAGGTTACGTTGAAATGCGGGTTTTTCACCGACAAAATTCACCCCTACCCCTAAACCTAGCCCCCCCCCCACCCTCCATACCATCCTTCTTTACTACATTCGTTCTTTCTTTCTTTCTTTCTTTTATTACTTTATTTTTCTCTCAACCACCCCATCAACAAAAACCCTGTCGCGTAATCCAATTTCCGTTTCTAACGGGACACGCCATGTCTACAAAATTTCCAATAAAATATATATATATGTATTTATATTTATATATATATATATATATACTTGTTTAATTGTTTTTATTTTTTTTTATTTTTCATTAGATCACTTTTACTTTTTATTCTTTTTTTGTTTTGTTTTTTTGTTTAAATGTAACAACGAACTTTGTAACTTGTATGATAAGAAATTGTGAAACGAAGTTATCCTTTGCAAATTTAAATTTTGATTACGAATTATTTTAAAATTAAAAAAATTATATTTTTATAAAAGAAAAAAATATAAAAAGAATTCAAAAATATAAGATGTAGATTTATTATAATGAAAATTATATTTTTATTGAGAAGAAAACCAAAAAAAAATTTAAACATATAAAATGTATTACAGATTGATTGTAATTGAATTATTTTAAAATAAAAAAAAACTATATTTTTATAAGAAAAAATATAAAAAGAATTCAAAAATATAAGCTATTGATTGATTATAATTAAAATTATATTTTTATAGAAGAGAAAACCAAAAAAAAAATTTAAACATATAAAATATATTATAGATTGATTATAATTGAATTATTTTAAAATAAAAATTATATTTTCTTATAAAAGAAAAAGAAACCGAAATAATTTAAACACACATAATACTCCAATAAGATTAATAAATAATTAAAAAGAAAAATATTCATATATAATCTAACCCAAAACGAAAAAATAAATAAAAAAAAAAGAACCCATAATTAAAAAAAATAAACAGAAAAAAAATAAAAAAAAAAAAGAACAAGTATGATAAAACAATAAAAATGAAAAAAAAAAGTATATTAGATTTCTTATTAATAGATGACTCACAATCAGATGATCGTAGAAAATCATCTATCCAGTAAAAGCAGAAAAACACCACGAGGTAGTCTCCCTAAAATGTTAACGGGGTGTGGGGTGGGGGATATGGGATTGGATATATTTCGAAGGTGGTAGGGAAAGAATAAAGAGTAAAAGAGAACACGAGTGAGTGAGAGACGTGTGCCCTATGAAGGGCCCACGAGTTTCTATACCAAACAGTAACCTAGGAGAATTCGAGGGGACTTAAAGTAACGTGTACAGGAGCCCTTAAACAGGGCACGCGACTTCCTACCTACCTGATTACATTTTTCCTTATAGATATATATATATATATATATTTCCCCTAGAAAAATAAAAAAAATAGCAAAAAAAAAAATAGTAAAGTAGGAAAAATTTAAATAAAAAAAAAAAAAACTATCATATTTTTAATTTCTTTTTTTTTCAAACGTTTAAATATTTCAATAATTATTAATTTAATATATTTTAACTTCTCTTATATTTTATTTTTCCTCTTCTGATATATATTATCTTCCAAACCAACTCCTAAATTCAAGGACACTCGAGACAATTCTTTTTTTTTTCCTTTTTTCCTTTTCCTATTCCTTTATACATTTGTGTGTATATATAGGGATGTATTTGTGCTTGTGTGTGTTTCTTATCTTCCCCCGTTCTTTCTTTTTCGATAAAAAGAAAGAAGTCCGAACGTGCCAATAACGTATTTCCCAATCGTCTTTCAGCAGCCCTTTTAAGGACCCTTCCTTCCTCCTTCCCTACTCCACCTTTTCGATAGTCTATCCAACTTGATATCTAAACGTTCCTAGAAATTCTTAGCAAAAGTGTCACACATGGAACACCTTAAGAAGATATTTAGAGTGTACCACTGTACTATTGTCATAACTCGAGTCAACCTAAGTTACATTGATGTGTTGTGTTCAAGGTGATCATAGTGTTTTAAGAACAATTATTTTGTCGATTTATCAATCGGTTATGAAACGAACGCGTTACAAAAGTTCTCAATGATTCTATGTCAATTTATTTTATTTTAGGTAAGAAATTTTTTTTAGAATTTTGTTTGATAATAAAATTAAAAGAAACAAAAGAAAAATAAAAATAAAACAGTTATTTTAATTATTAATTATTTTGTCAAGTGTTTGAATCTTTATTTCATTTTTATTTTATTTCACGTGTTAAACAAATGAAATTGCAAAGGAAATTCAATGCCAATTTTTGCATGGTATTTTTTTTTTTTTTTTATAAAAGTTTGCTTAAATTTCTAATAACTTATA